CGGACCCTGAAGGGTGTGAAAGGGCTCAGCTTGGGGATAGATGCCTAGAAGACTAACACCACCCAAGAAATTACAGTTACTTTGGTATTTCTGAAGTTCTTGACATTGTGTTTCCAGCGCATGCTTTGCAACAAAGAGAATGATTTGGAAAAGTTATACATACAGGTTGTGTTAACCTATTTGTAAGACTGTCCAAAGACAAAAGACAATCTGGCCCTTGACATGTCTTAAAGTTAGACCCAACTCTGTCCAGGCTTCAACTGTGTGAGACATGGGCTTAAAATACTTAATGCAGAGGAGTTCATGGTCAACTCAGTGACTGCTAGGTACCCTGGTCATGTGGCTGCAAAACAAGCCTAAATCATCACCCCTCCACTGCTGTGCTGACAGTTGGTATGAGGTGTTTGTGCTGATTTACCATGTTTGGTTCTCACAATACATGGTGCTGTGCGCTATGGCCAGACATTTCCACTTTGGTCTCATCTGTCCAAAGAAAATTATTCCAGAAGTCTTGTGATTCAACTTTGCAAACCTAAGTCAAGTTGCCGTCTTCTTTTTAGAGAGATTACTTGTCAGTCCATCCAAACAGGCCATACTTGTTCAGTCTTTATTTCTTATTGTGCTGTCATGAACTTTAACATTTAACATGCTAAATGAGGCCTGTAGAGTCTGAGATGTAGCTTCTTTTTTTTTTCTTTTTTTTTTGCAGTTTCTCGGGGGATTGATCTTGGGAAAATCTGCTGGGATGTCCACTCCTGGGAAGACTGGCAGCCCTCTTCATTTTTTTCAAGATAACTGCCAATCAAACACCAGATTATTTATTATGTTCTGATAAGCAAGTCAGAACATAATAGAACTAACAGGGGGTGTAATTTCTTTTTACTATTACTGTATTTATCTCTGGACCCCAAACCAAATTCTTAGTGTTATAGCATTTTAAAGCAGTACCCCTATTTATGACTTGCACTGTACATAAAAACATCCTATCCTTTGGAGAGATGAGACTAATCTCAACCTGTGATATGTGAAGAAAAAGAATAAGGAGGCTCAATAATCATTTTTTGCATGTTAAGAAATCCAGGTAAGGAAATCCCAGAAAGTTGATTCTAGTCATCAGGACAAAGCATTTTCACTGGCAGAAACATTTCATCACTCATCACTCTTTTCAGTCCTTGGAAGATTGCTAAATGCTACAACAATAGTCAAGTGCTGATGACCTCTGCCTTGCATGGGGCATGTTTGGTACAAAAAAACAAAAATAAAAGATCCATGTACAAAAATCAGCAATGACGAGAAAGTCAAACGGCAAGAAGGGTGTCAAACAGGAGCAAGAATTTGACGTTTTGTGTGATTACTCACTTCTTTGATATTGCAAATTACAAACTCCTAGATTCATTCTGACAGCAAAGTACTTAACCAAGCACTGAAATCTGTAATAAAATCAGATTTACAAATGTCTAAATAATAATCATGTTTATTACCCACAATAGGCAAGAACTCACAAAAAAGAAAAATAAACTCGAAGACATATTCCTGGTTTCCCGGGAGAGTATGAGAAACAGCAGCAACACATTTATTGTCACACCCAGGGGTATATTTCTGCATGTGGTTTTAGATCACTCACTGACATTTTACTTCCATCATTACAATCCAGATTTGATGCCCGTCGTGCAGTACCTCGCCACACCACCTAAATCTCAACCCTCCCCATCTCCACGCTTCTGTCTCCAGTGTTGGGTAAACAAGGCGGAACCCTTGTCAGCGTGGCTAAGCTGGTGGCTCATGACAGAACGCTGAATGAGTGATTTAAGGTTTCAAGTGAGCAGCTTTCACAGTTAATTAACCTGCTGATGGCTGTGCATGTGTGGAGTGGAGCAAGGGATTCATGGGAGGAAGCCCTCTTCAGTTGCCTTGCCATTTCAAGTTAAGACAGCCGCGCACATTACTGTGACACTGGGCCTAAAGTCATCAAGTCGAGTGATCGCTCATTTGTTTCTGTGGTAGCTGCTTGTTCTGCAGGTTTAGCCTTGTCTTTTCTCTTCACCTTCAAAACATAAGACAAGGGATTAAACAGGAACATGGCTATCTTTCCACACCAAGCTTATAGGACATAAAGAGGAGACAAAATAAACAAAACGTACATTGTAAATATGATTTTCAGACGACTGCAAGTCTAGGGGGCTGTAATGATATACAGTCTATACAGTCTCATTCATTTTACTCTAAAGTCTGACAAAAAGGGCAAGCCAACTCAATAATTATGAAAACCCTTTGCTACTCACTTAGGAAGCTTCCAGTAGGACACCAAAATACCAACAACTACATACTTCACTGCTTTAAATGTTCAGAAAGTTAACTGTAAAGCTGCATTTAAATATGACCCAATCATCCACTGTGGATTTCCAAAACATTTGCCATTCATTCTGTGAGGTCATGGACTAAATGTGTGCCTGATCTGGCCTGGGTCACTGCAGTTTGGGAAAAAAAATACTCACACTTTGAATGTGGAGCCTGAACACCCATCAGTGTTCTCACACCCACCCCAGGTTTCTTCAGAAACTTGATCTGTGGTGTGCTGAAAGCTGGGTCTTCACCTGTTAGCAGATCAACCACTAGTTTCTGGGGTCACTGTGTATTTTGCTCTGGTTTGCCACCCAGGCAGCATTGCATTTCAGTGGGAGGACAGTGTGTGTGATTCATGCCTTGATAATTACAGTGCATGTCCTCTTATTATTAGCAGCTGACTACCGGCATTCAAACAGATGCTATGTGCCCTAAGAAGGATTTGTGCTTTTCTGTAGATGGACTGTGACATGTGGACATGAGTTTATATTTTAATTGCATTTTGATACAATACTTATAACGCTAATTTTGATTCCCAAAAGATAAATATAAATACAATTTTACCATTTTTCTAAAACAAATACCTCTAAGTGTAAATGGGCACTGCACTGACAATCTACATAAATGCTGTAATTGTCCCCCAAGATAAAGCTTTCGCATATTCATCTGTGCGGCAGTAATGTAAAATTTTACCTAATTTACATCATCCTTGAGGCAGTGCAGCAAAACAATTTCCAAGTGAAGGCAAAAGCTCTGATGAAACCAAATAAGAACATGTACGTCATTATTGACTCTTAGCCTTTTTTAACTACTCTCCAAAGGACAATATAATTGTCTATATGTATATAGCTCTAGGTTGTATCAGATTGTGGTTTGATGAGTTTATGTATGTAGTCTCAGTAAACTGTACAATCATGGATTGAAGGGTAATCAGAACAGCATTTCAAAACTAATTTCTCTATAATTGTATCCAATTATTTATGCTCTTTCTAATAAGTGCAGTGACTGACCAAATGAACAGGAGAGGATACGTTCCATTATTAATACTAACACATTGACAAATAGATATATACAACTATGTAATTTGTCTCTTGTAATTATGCATATTGGATCAACTTCAATGCACTATAAAAGTGTAGATTATTAGCTTTCCTGTGTAAAAGGCAGTATATTTTAACAGGTTAAATATTAAGTGAATTTTATATGTATACATAGATACATTCATTTCTCAAAAATGGATATGGGAATGTGGAAACGAATGCCTCACTGCTGATCTATGGGACTCAATGATGCAGCTCTCTTCCAAGCCACTCTGGGATGCATTTAGGACATGCATGGAGAAAACAATGGCGAGTGTATTACCAGAAAAGATAAATCTATCTCATTAATCCCTTATTCTCCCAGCCTGGGAGACACATTTAAGAGAACATGCAGAAGCAGTTCTGTGTGCTAGGATCTCTCATGCAGATGGCAGAGAGGGGGAAAGGAAAGAAGGAGGGGCTATTGTGTCAATCTGTGCATCATTAGACAGTGCAGTGACGGCAAGAGGTAGAGCGGGATTACCAGGATGTGGCGTTCACAACAAAACAATCAGTGATGTCTTGTCAAAGAAAAGATGCTGTATTCCTTCTTCTATGAAGCAGTACATCCAAATTAAATGACTTTTTCAGCAAACTATCATTAAATATAAGCTCAGACATATTTATAATTGTATTCTTTTAATGAAGATTTTTAAGGTTGTAGCTATTTTTAGCATCTTTTCCTTTAAAATGTTTTAAGCCCTTGTTCTTCTTTCTCAAATTTCTGAAGATTTCAAATCACCACAATCAGTTCAACGTTAGTATCAAATGACCTTTGCACTGATTGTCCATACTTGGCAACATTTAAAAGCTAGTGCCAGTTGTGTCTCTGTTCTCAGTACAGGGACCTTCAGGGTAAAGAAGGTCTAAAGTCTAAGGTTCAACTATAGTATTTATTGATTGGGCTGAAATCGCCCCATCAATGGTCTTCTAGTCCACAATTCTGTTGTATCACATGGCTACATGTTCAAATTACCACCAGTAAATTCGATTGATTTCGGTCAAAAATGGCATTGATTTTTACCCATCTGAAATGACCAGGGAGTCCATAAAACAGATAAAGAGGTCATAACAATTTTACCAGCCTGTAGAATTCCACAGAAAGATTTAAGGGGTCATGAAAGCCTGATGGTTAAAAATGAAGCCTGCAAAAGGCCAACAAAATGTACCACGGATGCTGCATTACAAATAGCTCCATCTATGAAGCAGTCGATAGCTGAGAAACAAAACGTACTGCTGAGTTTATACGAGTCCAACTATAAAGTATTCTTTTAAGAAGAACAGAGACCCATTTATTTTACCTAACAGACTGAGGAAGAAGACAAATGAAAGTAGATGTAGCAGTGTAACAGTGGACAGACACATGAAGTTTGCCACTGACCTTGGTGCCTTATAAGTGAGCAAATTTTATTGATTCATTCCTCATCCAACCACCTTGAGCATATTGTTAAGTTTTAGACTGACGATGAATGTGTTTCACTTGCTTTCTGTAAACACACCAATGGGTCGACAACCAGGAGTGATTGTCTAGTTGACACAAAAAGAACTATTACTAATTTATGTCTCGTTTTTCCCTAGACTGGACTAACAGCGGAGGATACCTTGTCTCGGGGCCAAGCTGGATTTCAGTGCTGTCAACTTTTTATTTTACCTGTCAGAATGGAAACGGACATACAAGGGTTTGTTTGCCCCTCTGACGTCTTTAGCCACATAGGCTGTGAGAGGAAATAGACAGAGAGCAGATTTTAAGGACCCCACACCTCTTAATGGTATGCTTCGTATGAGAGTGTGGGATTTGGAGGGCCAAGTAACTCTTCCTTGTCTTCTTCCTCCTGAGACATCATTTACTCTTATAAAGAAAAATGTGGAAGAAAAAGTGATCGGAGCTGTAGCTGGATATAAAAGTCTCAGTTCTCACAGTTCTCCACCTCAGGAAAGATGATGTTCAATACTGGGCTGGCAAACGGGGGGGGGGAAGGTAAAGAAAATCCTCCGACCTTCTAAATCAGTGAAACCAGATGTTTGGTGTTCTGGTTTTTCTTTAAATCTTCCGGATGTGACAGTTTAAAAGTATAATGTGTATTTGATCTCTAGTAATGTGTAAAATCTAATTCCGGAAGAAATTAGTTCAATGCAAAATCAAAACTGAATCAAAACTGAACTGCCTAAACATTGCAGTTCCTTGCCGAGATGTAGGCCTCTGAAGGAAAACTTCCATGTGTTTCAGTGCTGATTTCAAAAGTCTAACCATTTCTCTAATGTATATGTTCAGCTAAGCCAAATCCACACAATGACATCAGATTATATGTCTCAAAACCATGAAAATAAATATGTCTTTCTGCAGCCTTGGCTTTGAGGTTTGTAAGGTTGGAGGGCTGCAATTTTTCAACATGCATGCACGGTTTTGTCATTATTTCACTGATTTATCTGAAAATAGTGACTTTCTCTGTGTAAACCACTGAAGTATAAATGATATATTTGTAGAACATGGGGAAGGCAGCTCAGCTAAACCATGAAGTGAGTTATGAAACAGAATTTAAATTTCAAGCTAAATAGACATCAGCAGATCAGCTGTACACTCACTCTTTGCATGTTTCTGATTGTGCAGCCACTGGTGGTAAAGTAATACTTTCTTCAGTGTTTTATTCTGTTTATTTGATAGTTCTATTTAACATTTTAGAAGGAAGTGGTACAATTTGTACCCAATACTCCTCCACATAGTTAGTTAGTAAATGCAGTTTCACTGAAATATTTGTATTATTTAAATAATGTGTTAAACTAGTGAGCAGTTGGCATTTATTTATATCCACCCGATTAATGCAAGTCCAATAATCCTTCCTCCTTGACCTCCTGTTTTGTTCTTAATATGCTCCTGACTCCTGATTATATGCATCTATAGCTGCTAAAGATTTTTTATGTACTGTACAAGCAGCAACCTCTGGATCTTGAAAGTGCCAGACCCTCTATTATTTCCAGTAACTTACAAACACTTCTATAGAAGTTTTCATGCAATTTTTATGGCTTGCAGTGTGGTTACATGTACTGACAGACCATCCAAGAAATTAATGAGCATTTTATTTTGATGTAACTTATCACTACTTAGTAGGTATCTGGGTCTTTGTGATGCACTCATACAAAGCACCTTGCTAAGTAAGCTAGCTACGTGGCACTCGGCCACCTATGGTTAAGGCATTTCTGACTCTAAAAATATGAATAAAAACCTAAAACAGATGGTGATGACCCAAACTGACACTTCAAAATGGAACTCTACACTCAAATGGGTCACTTTACAGCATTTGAATGGGTGTACATAACTGAACTTCTACTTGTTCTAAGTACGGTCTAATTCCTGAACTCATGGAACTTTGCAGTTCTTCAGAACATATGTGCATACTTTGGACCTGAGTGAATGCTTGTCTGTAAAATATGCAGATGAATCAAATAAGGGTTGCCTGTGATGTGTCCAAGTAGAAATGAGTTCTGCCTGAGGGGTGGAGTCCATGTCTCTCCCTCTCTGTCAGATAGTAAGGAACCCAGCACCAGGGAACTTTAGAATGAGCCTTTGTTTTGGTCGACTCTCCTCCTCTAGCTCTCCTGTCATCCTTTGATCATATCAGACTTTGTGCTCTCTTCCTTACTCTCTGTCTACCCTTATAGGTCTGATGTGAGAGATATATACATACAGGACTCTGCCAGGAGAGAAACAAAGGTATCCCACTCACACCAGTCCTTTTCCCCCCACAGGGCAATTTCTGCTGTCACCTCCCAGCCCCTTCCCCTCAAGACCCTCACTCAGGTGACAGGAGGTATGAAAACACTCAAGTTTTTTTCTCAGACACAAGAAGGCCTATATTAGTCTCCCTCCGTGCACCATCAGCGGCATCCTTCTAACTAAGACATGGGTCCACACCTGTGGATATTATGACACGCATCTGTCAAGTGAAGTCAAAACTTGCCAATCCCCTATTAAGATTGAACCATTTTAGGAATGAAGAAAATTTCTAGGGTTTTATTGTTGCATTAACAAGTCTTTAGCCCATTACCACTGACAGCTAAACCACCCAGGTGCTTGTCTTGTCATTGTTATTGGGAATTATTCAAAATATAAAGGGAAGGGCACATTTAAGCATGGCAGATCTGCTTGGGAAGTTGCAATTTTACATATCAAAGTTAACAATAGGTCATTATACCATCTGTTTGTCTTATTCCTCTGATTCATTTTAGGCATTGCATTGATTTTTGTATTTACTCCGGCTCTGCTCATACATCTCTCCCACTCTCGCGGTCCCCCAAGCTTGCCGTAATGCCTCGGCCCAAACACAGGAAGTGTCAGCCCCCTGCTATGCATTTGGTGCTGCTGCCCAGCTTTAAATGCCCCAGACTCTGTCAATAATATTGATGTAATCCACGGGCATTTTTGAGTGATCCTGCTGTCACAGAGACATAATGACAGGCAGTGGAGGCCTGATTGGATCTGCACTACAGCAAGGTTGGCCGGCGCACAGCCAGGCATTGATAAAGTGTCACAGACTTCAGTGCTTTGATTAGCCCTTCGACTAATGCCATGCTAAGCAGAAACATTACTCTGCCCCGCTAGCTATACAGCTAGAGGAAGGGAGGGCTGACTGAGGGAAAGGGAGAAAATATACTCTACAGGGAAATTAACCAATGCGGATGAAATGGTGTACCAAGGAAATTCTTGGATAAATTAACAACGCAATTACATTACATGACACACTGCAAGATGGATGAGGAAAACTTGGCTGGTATTATGTTCTGTTTTCCAAATTGCAATTTATTTGAGGGCTCTAATGGATGCCGTATTAAAACATCTTGGGCTGCGGTCAGATTTCATTGTGTGTCACCCAGATGTGATTGATGACCTTCTCTTCCACGCCCCTCGACCCCTCCCCACTCACCCACCCACCCACATCCTCTCTTGCAACCCTTTACTTCTCCCAAGTCCCCCCCCCCC